AGTTCCGTTATATGAAGGTTTGACTGTATAAGTAAGGTGAGAAAAAATAAGAATAAGCTTAAAATTTTCCTCTTTGAAGTTGTTGTGAAATTCCGTATGCAAATGATTAATTTTGAAGGGCTAAAAGCGGTCCCGTTTAAAAATTCCACGTAAGTTCGCGTTAACGTCACGTTAACACGTGTCGACGTCGAGAGGTGTCGAGAGGTGTCGGGGGTTCCCCCCGGGAGAGCGTAACTCGCCCGCGTTGGGGAGCCCTTATAGAAAGGCAGCCCCTCTCGACCGAGGTGTCGTTAATTTGTCTAAAGTGCAAATTTTATCGCGCGATCCAATTTAGGCTCACACCGACGATATCGTTTGAAGTACACTACGACGCACATTAGGGCGACCTCTTTTAATATTTAACAGGCCATACATATTTATCTTGAAACGTGTTTTTTTTCACCTTACATTCAAATGAGTACCTAATTTAGTCATTTCACTCATTTCCTGTCGTGTTTAGAACCTTAATGTTTAAAGTCTGAAACTAAAAAAAAAAACGTTCGATTAGGGTTGCGTTAACCCAATCTTGTTTTTGAAGAAACTATTTCTTTTTGCTTCCAATCTAAAATAAAAATAAATAAATAGATGAGTGTATGAGATGAAGAATCATTGTTGAGAAAGAAAAAGATTCTGATATTCGAAGTCCGGTTGTCGGGATGAGTGCCAAATACGGTCCGTTCAGTCGAATAAACGAGAGGAAATTAGGTATAATGGCGTCGGTTATAAAGAGCGGCTCGTCCGTCGGAATGATTAAACATTTTTGTTGCTCGTTAGCGGTCGCTCTCCCGGTGTGATACAGCCAATTTTCGAAGAAGAAGAAGAAGAAGCCGCCGCCGGCGCGTACTACACGAGAAAGGTCCGTGTCATTCGATTAAATACAAATTTAAGGGGGCACAATACCATCGACGACGTCAATTATCGAATCGAAAAAGTCCAACTCAAATTAGCACCAATAAAAAAAATTTTAAAAATTGTATTTAACCGAAAAAAAAAAAAATAGTATGTAGTAGAAATCGGGGGATGAATAAAACATTTTGGGTTCGTCGGGTGGGCGTCAGAGCGAGGCTAATTCGGGCGTCGACATCCCCCTCCGCAACCCCACGCCCCGCTATCGTCGACGCCGTCACCGTGCTTTTAATTGCGGCGCGCCCCCCTCATCACATCGTATCCACCCGGTAAACTTACACCCTCTACGAATATTGAGCGCACAAAAGCCGACGACTTATTCGAAACCAACCTCCCCCATTCAAAATCTAATGAAGCCGACCTGCCGAGTAATTAATGGAAATTGAATCGAAAATACGAAATTTATTAGTCACAACAACCCTCAAGTTGATACTTTTTATCAAAAAAAAAAAAATTGAGTGGACATAAGAAAATTGAACCTAATGGGGGTTAAGAAAAAAGGAAGGGCGCAAAAAGGTTTCGGAGACGAAAAGAAACGTAATTCGTTAAAATGGCAGAGTCGCTAACTTTTAAAACACTAGTTAGAAGAGGACGGTGGGGTGAGGGTGTTTTTAAATTTGTCGTCGTCGGTTCGCGTTTTTAAAAGGGGTGGGTTCGGTAATCGAATTGGCCCGGAGTTCGTTAAAAATAAAATAAAAGTTTGGTTGCCACTCGACGAGACGCACACTCTCTTCCCCAAATGGATCTTTTAACGTTCGCGAGTTTTCGCCCTTTACAGGGAAACAGTTAATAAATCATACGGGGGTGTCTCTCTTTCTCGTTGAATGTGACCAGAATAAATAAATACACAACAATATAACCGACTAGAATTTAAAAAAAATTAAAAATATTCCTACCAAAGAAATTAACAAAAAACAATTTTGGGATTAAAAAAAAAATGAAATAATGGAGTAAATCCTGTGTATAAAATCCGATTTAAGTTGGTTTTAAAAGTTACAGCAAGTCATCAAAGGACAATATCTCTTAAAAAAAGTATATAATACAATTGCACCCTAACGGAACCCAACCCAACCCTATTCAATTTCATAAGGGTTGTAAATAATAAAATTCAAACAGAGATTATTTCATCACCTGTCTAAAGCATGAGTCAATATTTTTTTATGAATCTACATAAGTTGAGATTCATAGAGGTTTTTTAAAAAGATTTCGTCATCTATTATAAAATGTCTTGAAAGCTTCGATTTCCGTAATGAGTTTTATAGTGGTTTGTGTTTTTCTTTGGATCACTTAGATATATTTGATGTTTTATATTTGACGTAGGTATAACGCCTATGTACGAAATGGACCAAGTAATAAAGAATATTGTGTAAGGTTAGGGATAGTGTACGGTACTGGGTTGGTTGGGTAAGGCCAGCTATGTTGTTTTAGGTTAATAACCATGCCTCCCATGTAAAAAATGTTGGCTCAGGTTACTTATGTCTGTTAAGGTCAAGAATGTTAAGTTAGGTTGGGTTGTGTTTTTTTATAGAAGCATCACCTTTGGTGTCTTTCTTAATCATTAGCGATTTCATACAGCGTAACTATAAAAGGTTGTAGATCTTATAAGTAGATCTAAATGTGTATGGCTATAGAAGCGTGAGTTGCATATGTTACCATGTGTATATTAGTGTATGTTGGGTACAATCCGCTATATTTTACAGACTATTAATGTTTGGACGTGTGTGTTATAAGCGGGATGACTTTGCCTGTAAGTTTATAGGGTATGTGAGTACATGTTCATAGTTTTGCGTTTTAGTGTTAGATCTAGGATCATTTTGTTGAGTATCGGTTTCACAACATGTCGATATAAGTCTAAATAATCCATTCTTAAAACTTCCTGTATTACATGTTGAATGTTTTGCTCTTGTTTTGAAGGTACTAGTGTATAATGAATGTGTTGAAAAGCGTCAATAATTAAACGCCACAATGTGGTATAGTTGACATTGTGGATAAATCTCATTATCATTTAGCCATCACTAAGAGTATGCTAATTACCGGCTTTCTTAGTACAAACGCTGTTTGTGTCAGTTTACCACTTCATTACCAAAGCTGACACAATTTTTAAGGGTTGCAGTGTCTAAAGAATAGGTTCACTATCTTCACAATGTGGTATAGTCGATATTGTCGATAAATCTTATTGACGTTTGAGTCAATTTTTTATTTAGCCATCACAGACAATATGCTTATTTTCCGGCTTTGTTAGTATAAACGCTGTTTGTGTCAGTTTCCCGCTTCATTATTAAACTGACTCAATTTTTAAAAGTTGCAGTGTCCCACTATGTAGGAGAAACATTGGTCTTCCCAACTCATTCCAGATATGTTCGATAAGATTCATTCCAAGACAAATTCCTACTTGATCCAGATATTCATTGAGAACTATGGTAATGTGTGTTCATCAACATCAAGTTCATCAGACTATAAAAAACAGAATATGATTTTTTTAATTGAGAGCCAATTTTCTCTTTTTTGGGTTTTTATTTTCTCTTCACTTCACTAAAAAATTACATAAATATTAAATTTCAATGGAATATAAATACATTATTAATAATATAGGCAACTAAACTTACCTAATACAATTTTTATGAATTAAACCAAACTATACACAAAGTTGACTTAAAACTTTTATAAATTCAAATGGGCTTTTGAAAAGAGTTTTGTAGCAATTTCGGTGGTACCCGAGCGTCGCAAGTAATAAATTAGCAAACGATTCGTTGCGTTTTCGACGCCGGATTTATAGTCGTGCCCATAAATCTCGGGCCATCTGAATGGCGCCGCCGATCGTCGAAAATTGGGAAAAAGCCAAAAACGCGGGGCGAAACGAACGGTCGTTTCGCATCCTCGTCTACATACACATAGGGAATTTGCAAAGAACCCAATTTCGAAAGGGGTCTTCGATTACTTCGAATCTCTTTCCCCGGATTTTCTCCGGACGCGGCTTTTAAGTTTCGAAAATGTATGCTAAAGCGAGCCGCCCTCCGAAAAGACGAACTTTTACCGATCGAGCAATAAAATTTCGCCCCCACACGAAATACGTATTATAGGGGAAGAAGGGAACAAGACAAATATGTGGAATATAGATTTCTACATCCGGGGAGGATGTTGTTGACTGAATTGATAATGTGGAATTTATACTATATAAAATCCCTCTCTTTCACTATCAAAATTCTAAAACCACCCTCAACCTTTTTAATGTTCGAGTAATGACATTGTTTACTGAAACGCAGCTGAGTTACAGAGTCAATTATCGTTGGTTTTGAGGTAATAAATAAATCGAACGGAGGGGGCGGATTACAATGGAAGTCGAGTTTTGGCGTGAAATCAGTCTTGGAAAGTCGTCGGTACGAATAAGAGGCAATAAATCGATAGTCTTATGTGCACACGCGCCCGCTTTCAACGCCAAAGAATACTCCATTAGCCCTTAAATGTGTCGGGATTAGTCGCCGCAACCCCCGTGTCGAAATGGCTTACGCGTAATGCACTACATTAGCCCAAAATTGATTGTGGAGGAAGTCTATTGTCCACCACAAAGAATAAACGATGTATCAACTACAAATCCTTTTTTCTTTATTGAAAATTTATTTATATTTAATAATAAACTTACCATAATAATGAGGGTTAAAATAAAAACCGTATTTTTTTGATTTCTTCTTAAATCTATTCTAAAATGAGAACTTAATTATTAATTTGCCAAATTTATAACGATTTTATAATAAACTTACGCATTAAACTCCACTAAACTTTTAAATTTAACACAATTTTGGGTCTAAAATAAACACTTATCAAATTTTGACGCAAAACGTTTGTTGTGAGTCCAAACTTACTTGGTTTCCTAGCAACCAAGATATCCTCAAATTTAGAATTTAAAATAATCTTTAAAAATATATTAAATTATCGTTAAATTAAAACATCAAAATCAATAAATTAAATCTACACACAAACTTACATTTTAAAATTAAATTATGATCACAAGGATTATTAAATTAAAATATAAAAGTTATCAATCGAAACTCGCTTGATTTTGTTGAATCGAACGCTTCCTTTCTCCCCATGTGTTTGACAGCATACCTAACCTCACTTATTTATAACCTCAACCCGAATGAATAAAAAAGTTATAATGAAGACAAATTCAACACAAATTAAGGTAAATCGTTAATATTTTCACTAAACAATCTTATTTTTATTTCAAACCTTAACGTTTTAGCCTAATACATCACAAAAAGATGATTCATCCTTTTCATTTAATTTCACAAAAAAATCGAAAACACAACCTAAAGGTACTGTTTTTAAAAAGAAAACGTTAACAAATAACGATAACAAACAAGAGGGGAATGATGAAAGTAATAAAAATGTGTTTCAAGACAAATTTAAAAGTGGTTATGTTAAACGTAAACAACGGAAAGATAAGTTATTGGTGAAACAAGGGGTTAATATTGAAGCTAAAGATAAAAATCAGAATCAAAAGAAAAATTTTTCATTATTTGCGGATAGAAAACGAGATTTTTATGTTGATAGTAAAAAAGGGGAATCTATTTCAGAGGTTGTTTTTACGAAAGGGACTAAATTTAATGATTTGGGGATTCATAAACATTTGGTTTCAAATTTGGAGAAAATTAATTTTAATGTTTTAACTAATGTACAAGAAAAATCAATCCCCGTTCTTTTAGAAAAGAAAAATGCCTTAGTAAGTTAATTAATTTGTTTCATAAATAATTTTTTAAATCGAATAAATAATAGATTCGCTCACAAACCGGTTCGGGAAAAACTTTGGCTTATGCAGTTCCGATTTTAAATCGATTACTTGAATTAGAACCGCGTTTAAAACGCACCGATGGTATTCAAGTGTTGATTGTGGTTCCAACTCGAGAATTAGCACTTCAAACGAATGAAGAATTCAAAAAAATTAATGTATGTAAATGTGAAAGATTTATAGGGTTAGTTGTACAATATACTGATAAATCTATCTGATAATTATCCGGCCGATAAATTTGTCGGGAAGATAAAGATATTCGCTATCCAAGGTCCTAATTTCCTTAAAAAAAACATGACGTTTCATAAATTGACATTTAATTTTGACAAATTGTTGTGAAGTTGGTTACAGTTGGTAACATTGAATTTGTGTCATCTTCACGTTTAAACTTTATTCAAAAATTTATTTAAAAATAATTATTTATACACTAAACAAGTGTTATTAAACTAAAGAAATAAAGAGTTAAAACTATAACTAACACTAGATATAGAACTAAAATCATTCGGGTTTAGACGTCTTTAGAGACGTGGGGCTAAACCCAAATGATTCTTGCTCTAAGTATAGTATTAGTTCTGCATAATATATGTAGTAACAAGGCTAGTGTAAAACTAGAACTAACACTAGACCGTTTCGGCTTCTTCAGAAACTGTTTCGAAGTGAGAAACTTCGAAATTAATTAGGTTTTAGTTTGAATAAAATTGAGGTTGGCACCCCTTCCTTTCATTACAATTTTTTGACAGAAACGGTTCTTTTTCACGTTTTAATTACTTTCTTATCATTTAATAATAATTAAGTGTTTAATTGTGGTTAATTCTTTTGGTTACTTCTTCGTAAGTAGTTAGTTTTTATCGACTCAAAATTCTTTTTTTAAATAATCTTTGTTTTATTTAATCTTGGGTTGAGGTTAAAAATGATTATCAAGATTTTTGGGTTTATTAATGTAGGGATTACTCCAATTGTTTAACTTAATAACAATTTTAATTTTAAATCAATAATTTTTTTATTAATATTTCTTTGAAAATAAATTAGTTTTTAGTTTGGATAAAATTGAGGTTGGCACTCCTTCCTTTCATTACGATTTTTTGACAGAAACGGTTCTTTTTCGCGTTTTAATTAATTTCTCATCAATTTTATAATAAATAAGTGTTTAATTGTGGTTAATCGTCAAGAATCGAATCCCCTTTGGTTACTCCATCGTAAGTAGTTAGTTTTTATCGACTCAAAATTCTTTTTTTAAATAATCTTTGTTTTAATTAATCTTGGGTTGAGGTTAAAAATGATTATCAAGATTTTTGGGTTTATTAATGTAGGGATTACTCCAATTGTTTAACTTAATAACAATTTTAATCTTAAATCAATAATTTTTGTATTAATATTTCATTGAAAATTAATTAGTTTTTAGTTTGGATAAATTTGAGGTTGGCACTCCTTCCTTTCATTACGATTTTTTGACAGAAACTGTTCTTTTTCGCGTTTTATTTAATTTCTTATCATTTTTATAATAATTAAGTGTTTGATTGTGTTTATTCATCAAGAATCGACTCCTTTTTGATTACTCTACAAAAATATCCATACATTGTAATTTGTAATACAGTACAAGCTTACTTATCGGCCAGATAACGCTATCGGGAAGTTCATCGGTATATTGTATATTGTCCCTTAATTAATTAATTAATAATTATTGTTTATTTTGTTAGACATTTCAATGGATTGTTACCGGTTATCTTTGCGGTGGTGAAAGTAGGAAAAGTGAAAAGGATCGTATTCGAAAAGGTGTAAATATTTTAATAGGAACCCCTGGGAGGATTTTAGATCACGTTTTACACACTTCAGCATTAGATTTAAGTAAAATAAAGTGTGTAGTGCTCGATGAAGCCGATAGATTATTAGATATGGGATTTCGAAAGGATATTTTAAGTTTAATCGAAAAAATTGACTCATCAAAAATTCACAGTGATTATAACCCAATTGAAATGCTTTTCCAAAAATCACAAAATGATAATAAAGTCACCAATAAAGAATATCAAACAATTTTATTATCGGCAACTTTAACTAAAGATATCGCTGAATTAGCCGATTTAACCATGAAAGATCACGTTTCGATCGATGCGTTAGACGAAACTCAAAACGTTAACGAAAACGATTTTATTATCCCAAAGACGGTAACCCAAGAGTGTTTAATTGTTCCGATTAAACACAGGTTGTTTACTTTGTCGTCGATGATCGTTTCGAAATCGAAGAAAAACGCGAAAATATTTATTTTTATGGCGAGCACTCACATGGTCGAGTTCCATTACGAATTATTTTCAAAACACTTGGTGAATATGCCCAAAAATCGGGGGAGACAAAAAACTATGAATTTTAACGGCGAAAATGTCGTTGTTTTTGATGATAGCGATGATGAAAGTGATGATGAAGAATTAGTTGTTGACGTTGAATTTTTTAAATTACATGGTAATATGGATCAAAAGGAAAGGAAGGATGTTTTTGTTAGGTTCAAAAATGCTCGAAAAGGGGTTTTAATTTGTACCGTAAGTTTAAACATATTTAGAATTAAATTAAGCTCGAAATAACAGGTTTTTCGTTCTACTTAAGCCGAGGTCGCTTGCGGCCGAGGCTTTGGAGTTGAAAACATATTGATGCAATATTATACGACATACATCTTCTCTAGAAAGTTAAGCCGAGGTCGCTTGCGGCCGAGGCATTGGAGTTGATAACATATTGATGCAATATTATACGACATACATCTTCTCTATAAAGTTAAGCCGAGGTCGCTTGCGGCCGAGGCATTGGAGTTGAAAACATATTGATACAATATTATACGACATACATCTTCTCTATAAATTTAAGCCGAGGTCGCTTGCGGCCGAGGCATTGGAGGTCAAAATATATTGATGTAATACTATACAACATACGTCTTCTCTATAAAGTGAAGCCGAGGTCGCTTGCGGCCGAGGCATTGGAATTGAAAACATATTGATACAATATTATACGACATACATCTTCTCTAAGACAGTGTTCGGAAAATGTTTTAAGTGTTTTTCTCTGCGAAAATTACAATCAATGTTAATGTATTGTACATCATTGGGTTCAGAAAAAAAAGTCTCTCTCCAATAACGTGCAGAAAAACATACCGAGCAATTTGAGAATCAAAAGTTGATAGTCGCTTGAAATTGAAGATGGCATTAGAAAAAGTTTATTTGTAGCATGAATCATAGCATTCATCAAACCATTTCATTTGATACCTCGTTCATGAAAATCGGAAGGTAAATGACAGAGTTACAGCTTGGGGCGTTTTTTGTGTGACACCCTGTATATGATAATAGATCTATGACATAGAACTATGATAGTGTAATACCGGGCTTAGTTTAGAATTAAATACGATTTTAATCTGATTTAAATCAAGTAATTTTTTTATATTAATCAATAATTTAAATGGAAAGAAAAATGAAAATAAATATATTCTTTATATAAAAACTGGTAAACCAGGCAACTAAAAACTAAGACAAACAAAAACAATATACAGCGTGTCCTTGTAAGTAGTAGCACAATTTCAATCACAAATACTAGAATTTTTGGATTAAACTCATAAAAGGGCTAAGATATGGGCTTTCAAAGTTAAGAAATTTTTAAACATTTTCTTAAATATTTTCAATATGGTTTGTCTTAGAAAGATAAAATTTGGAAAACAGTGCAATTTTATCATGAAAAATCGTTTAAGATCACTTTTGAAAATATACAACCACGGAATCAAGACTATACAGGTGTTCACAAAGGTTATTTCCTTAAAACATTTTATTATGTCATAAACTCTTAAATTTTATAACTGATTCTAAAAGCCTATTTCATTTTAAAATTATTTTCACTCTTAGAAATTTTTGTTTAGACGCATCGTTTTAGAGTTATTCGCAAAAAGATACAACCTCGATTGTAAAATGTTTTCATTAATCGTAGGTGCCTATAAAAACAAATTGTAACTGGAGCAGTAAAGCAACTGTCAAATCATTACCCAACATTCGTCAGTCGGTAATAGTTGTTTAAAATTACAAATAATTACAGTTTTGATATGCTTTTAACGTTGGAAGAGTATTTAGGCAATGCTAACGCAGTAGTGAGATAATATTAGAAATAACTGATGATACTGTTGATATCAACAGTTCAGAATAGCTTGGCATGTGCCACACGAACAGCAATTATATCCATAGTACTTATCGACAGTACAAGAATTAAAAATTGCTGATCATCTGTTGCGAGTACAGTTTTGCCATACTATGATGGAAAAATGTACTATTGATGCTGCGTGTTTAGAAGAAATACTTTTTATTGATATAAATAAAAACAAAAAGAAAACAATACTAAGGAATTATAAAATTTATATAAAAATACTAATTTTCTGGCTTTTTGTACTCCCCATTTGTTGCACACATTGGAGTGGACGAGGCACCTTTTTTGCAATTTGTCAAATCCTTGGGATATTGGCTTTAAGACATATAAGTAATCTTCTGCAAATCGTTTAGGATCAATATTAGATACTTTCAGTGCTCCATCTTACTAAAAGTAAATCTCGTCGTCATCACCAAACATCTCTGAAATTTGTGAACCGACTAACTCCTGAAGCAAGTTGAGGTATCTCTGACCAGTGACAGTTCTGAAACCTTGCATTTTCTGCACATTTTGCCAGCTACCATTCCCAGAATTGAACTCTCCGATCTGGATTGTCTTCTTTGAGAGCATGGATTACAGTTGGAATGTGGCATTTCCAGTGCAGACGCTTCATGATGCGATAGACGCTATCTTTTGAGATCAAGGAGTGTTTCCAGCACCTGCCCTTCTGTTTGCGAATTCCCTTCTGAATCGTCTTTGCACTTCAATGGCATTTTCTGTCTTCCAATAACATTTCAGGACAAACTTCCTCTCTTTCAAACTAAGTTGATTTCACAAGTTCTTTTTAAGTTAAATTAGACGTAATACAATTTTAATCGACACCTACTATAATGCCTCGCCCGCAAGCTATCTCTTCTTATTGTTTAGTTTAAAATAGAAGCTATATGTGATGCATGATGCCATAATGTCAAATGAAATTAATGATTTTTAATTAATTAGGATGTTGCTGCTCGTGGTTTGGATGTCCCAGAAGCTGATTTAATTATACAATACACTCCACCTCAAACTGATAAAGATTATTTACATCGAATTGGCCGAACGGGTCGCGCTGGAAAATCGGGAATCGCAACGATTTTTTTGACACCCGAAGAACAAGAATACATTTCTTATCTAAATAATCATAAAGTTTTGTAAAAAATGTTGCTTTTGATTGTTTCTTATTGATTTAGAATTGTTTGATTTTTAGTTTAAAAAAGAAAGATACCCAAGAATATTTGAGACACCTTTGTGATGTGATGCGCGAAAAAGATGTTGAAGAAGCCGCAACCGCGCTTCAAAGACACTTTGAAAATGTTGTAAATAAAAATGGGGTTTTAAAAAAAAGCGCGTGTTTTGGTACGTAAAAGAATTTTTTTTTTTGATTTAATGTTTAAAAAAATCTTTTTAGCTTATTCTACATGGTCAAGATTTTATAATAGTTACTCATCTTCGTTAAAATCAATCTTTAATTATAAACAAATTAATTTAGGGCATTACGTAACTAGCTTTGCCTTAACGATAACTCCAACGGAAGTGTCTGGAATCGTTCGCGGGCAAATTGGAAAAACCGAAAAAACGAGATTAAACAAAAAACTAGCTAATCACGCGTAAGTGTTAATAAATTTTTAAAATTCCCTTCCTTTCATTACGATTTTTTTTTGACAGAAACATTTTTATAATCATTAAGTGTTTAATTGTGGTTAATCGGCAAGAATCTATTCCGTTTTGGTTAGGGATTACTCCAATTATTTAACTTAATAACAATTTTAATTAATAATTTTTTTATTAATTTTTCTTGGGAAATTAATTAGTTTTTAGTTTGGATAAAATTGAGGTTGGCACCCCTTCCTTTCATTACGATTTTTTGACAGAAACTGTTCTTTTTCGCGTTTTAATTAATTTCTTATCAATTTTATAATAATTAAGTGTTTAATTGTGGTTAATCGTCAAAAATCGACTCCCTTTTGGTTACTCCTTCGTAAGTAGTTAGTTTTTATCGACTCAAAAGTCTTTTTTTAAGTAATCTTTGTTTTAATTAATCTTGGGTTGAGGTTAAAAATGATTATCAAGATTTTTGGGTTTATTAATGTAGGGATTACTCCAATTGTTTAAGTTAATATCAATTTTAATTTTAAATCAATAATTTTTTTATTAATATTTCTTGGGAAATTAATTAGTTTTTAGTTTGGATAAAATTGAGGTTGGCACTCCTTCCTTTCATTACGATTTTTTGACAGAAACGGTTCTTTTTCGCGTTTTAATTAATTTCTTATCATTTTTATAATAATTAAGTGTTTAATTGTGGTTAATCGTCAAAAATCGACTCCCTTTTGGTTACTCTTTCGTAAGTATAGTTAGTTTTTATCGACTCAAAATTCTTTTTTATGTAATCTTTGTTTTAATTAATCTTGGATTGAGGTTAAAAATGATTATCAAGATTTTTGGGTTTATTAATGTAGGGATTACTCTAATTGTTTAACTTAAGAACAATTTTAATTTTAAATCAATAATTTTTATTAATATTTCTTGCTAAATTAATTAGTTTTTAGTTTGGATAAAATTGAGGTTGGCACCCCTTCCTTTCATTACGATTTTTTGACAGAAACTGTTCTTTTTCGCGTTTTAATTAATTTCTTATCATTTTTATAATAATTAAGTGTTTAATTGTGGTTAATCGTCAAAAATCGATTCCCTTTTGGTTACTCCTTCGTAAGTAGTTAGTTTTTATCGACTCAAAATTCTTTTTTAAGTAATCTTTGTTGTAATTAATCTTGGGTTGAGGTTAAAAATGATTATCAAGATTTTTGGGTTTATTAATGTAGGGATTACTCCAATTGTTTAAGTTAATATCAATTTTAATTTTAAATCAATAATTTTTTTATTAATATTTCTTGGGAAATTAATTAGTTTTTAGTTTGGATAAAATTGAGGTTGGCACCCCTTCC